TACTTGTGGATGTAGGACTTTGAGAACAAGTTGCTTGAAGAGAAAAATCTTCACTACAACCGTTTTTTTCCTTCATATATAAAATATGCAGAAGTCAAAAATCTGCTTTCTCACAAGCCTTAGAGATCAAAACTTAGATGATATGGTCGAAAACCGATTTCAAACTTTCAAATGTTTTCCAGTTGAGGAAACCGTTTAGAGATCCTCTGAATTTTGGCAAGTAACAGACTGCAGGAAATAACATCCGGACACACCAAAGGCTGAAATTTTCGACCTAAAATATTATTTTTGGTAAAAATGAAGATTTCTGTCCTTATTTTTTGCTTTATGTCTGCATACTACAAAACTTTTCTCCCTAAGTAACCGGAACTTATGTCATATAGGAATTCATTGTTTCCCGCATATTGTTAATGACTCCACACGTATGTCTGATTAGACAGGATTATTCATTTTGAATAAGTAAAAAAAATGAAAAAGGAAGAGAGGCTGAATCCTTTAAAATGTATGCATAAAAAGGCATTTGAGCTGTTTATTACCAATTCATTCATTCATTATCAGAAACACTGGAAAAAATGAGACAGAACATCTATAGAATTATATTCATGTCGCCATTTCACTGAATAAATCTAAGTGAATAGCTTTCTGGCTTCTTCCTTTGTCAAATTGAGGAGCTTTTTAAGATATAAGGGAAATTAGAAATAAAGTATAACTGAGAGTGAAGTATGAATTTCGTTAAGTTTTTTTAGGAGCAATAAAATATCATGAATCAAATAAACTATTTAGAATAACCTTCAATCATTAAATCACCTATATTAGGTAAAATTCATTTCTGACATAAGTTGTTGGACTTAACTCTGAAAATAATATAGAAAATTAAAAATGATGTATGAACCAACTTATGTCAAAAATAAATAAATACTTTGTGCTAGATTATCAGGTCGATTTCCCAGTCAGATATATATACTACTGATGAATGGTAAACTTCGGTTCACGTATAGAAGTGTGGTGCCCGTAAATGACGTCATATTAGTTTAATCTTTTTTCATGTTTATATTTCTCAAACTTCTAGATTATATATATATATATATATATATATATGCAAAGAAAAGGGAAAAGCGGCAAAGAAATTACTAGTATTTCCAGCCATAGAATATATATTTATAAGCCACTAACCACCATAAAATCGAAACACAGGCAACATCAAGGCATCCATGCAGGAGTTCACTTGCCGACCACTTAGAATTGGTGTGGTTCATAAACCAACAAATTCCCTCCAAAAACTATTATGCGGGCCAAAGGATGCAACAAGTAAAGAAGACAAACCGAATATCATTTACAAAATCAACTGCAATAATTATAATCATCCCTACATTAGACAAAGCGGTTGCCTTCTTCGCCTTCGTCTACAAGAACACCAACGTCATGACATTTCACCACTCATTTCAATGCATGTGGATAATTATGGACATGATTTCAATTTCGACAATGTAGAAATTTTGGACAAAGGAAACACAAAGAATATCAGAGAATTCCTAGAAGCCCGTGATCCAGGTCAGTCAGCAATCAACAGATGTATAGACATAGACCCAATCTATCAACCATTAATAAAAATGATAAACGACAGAAAGGTCAGAGGTCAGGCAGAGGGACAGCCAACAAAAAAATATATACAGTCAATGATACAATAATTAGAGGGAACAACCAATCACAGAACACATCGTCAGAGCAAGCTACTAAATTACTCACGGAGAGATATTGACAGCTCACTTCATACTGAAGTTAGTGCTGATGATGTCGCCTAGAAAGACGATAAAAGCTTCACGAGTAAACAACTCAGAGAACACAATATAACCAAGACCATCCACCTGAGCTACAAATATTCTTCACCATGACAGTTTATTAGTTAAACTGTAGGAGAATGTTTTATGCGATCAATATCGTCTCTTACTTATGGATGTTTGTTAGAGACAGAAAAAAAAAGAAAGAAGGATACTTATTTTGCCAAATGCTACTTATGCTTTTAAACAGTAATATATGATCATATTCTAAAGTAAGTGTTAAGGAATTTATGAATACTAACAAATTTTTAAATACAGACAAGCAGCACGTGGCGACCAGTTAGTTCATGTATTCATTGGCTACAATAATATTTTTTGTAGTCAAAAAGCTCCATTTACTTGAAGTGTGGTATGTTGTCAATTTTCCTGTTAAGAAAATACTGCTCAACTTAATAGTCTTATAGGCCAATGTTAGAAAAAGAAAATAATTACCAACTAAAAGTACTGACGATATTGAGAGTAATACGTTATTTATGAAATATGAATTTGCAAGATTATATTTACTCATTTTGAAATAATACACCCGATTGAAGTTTAAAAATTTTATTGCCATTTGGCTTAACTAAAACATGATCTTAAAAAAAGAAGTTCAGTAGCAGTGATCACTGAGGTGTAGGTACACCCAACTGATGAATCCTAAATAGGAGGAAATGGATGTCTTGAATTCCATTACTGGTTACTTATCCATCAATAATACAGAATTGAAACACAAACAATATCGAGGCATCCGCATAAGAGCCCATATGTCAATAGAGAGCGATCGATTCAGTTGAATCAACGATGGGATAATACAAGTAACAATAGAAAAACATAGTTTTATTGGTCAATTTGTTTACAGTTATACGTTTTCAAGATGTCAAATTTATAACATTTCCTTCAAATTGCAAAAGAGATACAGTCATCTGAGAAGTATAGGCTAAGGTGTGATTTTGGAATATTCTAAGCATATAATATTTTGCAAAAAAATGCTTGTTCTATGTGGTATATAATTTTTATTCACCGGAAAACACATCTGAATGGGAGGGGGAGAATTTCTCGGTTTCAAGTAGTTCAATGCAAAAACTAACTACAATAACACAGATAATGATAAGTGAGTGACATGTTACAATGGTAACAACCACGTTACTATCAACATATACGTCGTCGTGATAAGAAGCTATCATGTGGACATCAATTTATAGTATTTAATCTGTAACGCAGTCGATCTGAATGTATGACTGGTGACTATGGTATATATACAGTTGACATATCATGCGATCAATAAACTGAATCTCTAAATAGGAGGATCATGAACAAATTTGTAGGATATAATGATATCATTTTATATGAGGATATTATTCAGTTGTGTACAATTCCAAATTGGATATTTTGGCTGAGATAAATGAGATTTTTTATGGGGTTAAATAACTTCAGACCTATAAAAATGCTGTCAAATAAACACGGATTCAAGACAAAGTAATATTTAAACAATGAGTGACTAAGATAAGACATTTTGAGTGGAATGCAGCTGATGAATATACGTGGAATATAATGATGTCATTTTGTTCTGCAATTCTATTCGTTTTTGCTTTTTTCAAATTTGTCAAGAGAACAAAATCTAAGAAAGCTCAGTTTATCAGTATTATCGTTTATAAGCACAAAGTGAATACTCATACGAAAGTAGACAAGCAGAACAAGTACAGTTTTAGACAAAAAGCAGACTGATAATGTGTCAGATTTTCTTCAAAACTTGATCTTGAAAAGAATATAAGTATTTGATTGTGGTCAATATTTATGCTGAAAATTTAGATTGTCTTTAAGACAGATAAACAAAAAAGGTGGGTAGATATTCTAGCATACAATACGTTTCAAACACTGACTGCATAAAAATATTTTCATTGAAACTAAGGGATCGGAAGCAGCCTAAGTCAAAATCAACATTCTAAGTCATCAGCAGTTAAGGTAGAAGTTTTGGATTTCAGCCTTTGTTTCATGTTACCATGTAATAAGTAGAAACTTTATTGGACAATTTTGTCATACAACTGACCAGTCAAAATAAGTATCCAACCTCTGACCTAATGGTTTCATATGTCGATGAAAACTGTATATAAATGATGTGCTTTGTCAAATACAGGCCAGTCGTCTTCTGATTTTCGCGGCTCATTGAAGTATAAGGTTCTAAGAGAGAACAATCGCTATTCGTATCCGCTCCAAGTGTCTGATCGCGTTAATGTCGTAAGTGTATTAATTTTTATCCCCTGCGTCACTTTACTAAGTTTCATAAGGAAGTTGTGCAAAAGATATTTTTTGATGCTAAATTACCCAAAGTATTACTTAGACTGTAATTCCCTACCATTCACTCCATCGGATTATGTTAGACAGTTTTGTTAGTGAAAGGACAAGCTCGCACGGTTAATTGGGTATCAACATGAAATTCAGCTCTGGTGCTGTTTACCATTTAGTTTCTAAGACTAGGTATCCTAGTGAATAAAGTTGCGGTATATTATAAGATTTGTGCTTTATCTGAGTCTCAGCAGAAACACTAAACACAGGGATGCAAGTGGAAGTCATCAATATAGATTTGCTCCAGGCCCCAACCAAATAAATAACTTAAGCATACTTGATTGGTATGTTAATGTATGCATATATAACCGATGAATCAGAAATAAATTTAAAGTCACTGCAGATTTACAACAAGGTATTATAGGTTTTGCCAGTTGACATACGAAACCCTACTGTTCATTACTGCTTAGTTTTTAACTCAATTATTTAGTCAGTCAAGAATAACTCAGTCAGCTAACTTCTCTCTTCATCCAATCTTTATCACATTAAGAGAAAACTTAATCAAGCAGCTAGCGTGAGAAGGAAAGAAACATATTTATCTCTAAACTACAGTGATTAAAAAATTATTCGTTTGAAATTTGTTGAGACTAAGACAAAGGTCAATCAAAGTGTATACAACTGATGGGAAAAATCTTAGATGAACCATTCAGTAGAGATTATAAACCAGTTATAAGTTGTATACTTGTTGTCATTTTCTGGAAGTTCATCGGCTTACACTGAAGAATTTCCTTATTCTACTTTTATTTTTTTAAACTGTTAGCACTGAAGTCGTTTCACAATAAAATTCATACTTTTTAGACAAATTTAGACAAAATTTAATTTACATGAGGTAATGCTTACTTTTGGTGGATCAAAAGGTTCAACTAATCGACCATAGTTGGTGGACTCTGAATTTTTCCACGATTTCCATGAAGGTTTACTTCTTTCTGACCAAGATCTTTGAAATCTACCAGTTTCTTGCAAGTAAAGACTGTCTGATGGTGGTGTTCTAGGCAATCGAAAGGAATGACGTTTAAGATCAAATCGATCAAATTGACTGGGATAGGAATTAGAGGAAAGACTGTTTGATATCCGTTTGTCAGAGATTCGGAAGTTGTACTTTCTTTCAATGAAAACAAAATAATTCAAAATAAGGGTGATGAAAAGATTTTACAGTTAAACTTTAAAAGTTTTAACAAAGATATTGATGTTGTTTGGTACTTGAAGTTGAGCAAATCGATCCTATGTAGTAACGAGGAATCGCAAGTATCAATAAACAACAAATGATACCCCCTGCATAAAATATGGCTCTCGTGCCCTACTGACCTAGTGGCTGACGCTTCGGCAATACATATCGACCTAAAAGGTGAATTAGGCAATATTCATTATTTCCCATTCTTAGCAGCGAGGTTTCAGGAAACAGCCCTGTTCTTGGTTGAATAGATGACGTGTCAAAGTTTGACAGGTTCAACATGTTATAAGTAAGCTTTCTTATCGTTTTATATTTATCATTATTATTATATTATATTGTTTTTCCCTTGGGCTCCTAGTGGAACATAGGGCTTGACTAGCACACCTCCATTGCACTCTCTTCTCTGCAGTCTTTTGAACCTCGCTCGAGTCTGCTCACAACCTTTCATTTATTTCTCACATGATCTCCCCTACGTCACCTTCGGACGCTCAACTCGTCGTTTCCCCATTGGATTCCACTGAAAGACCTGGCTCAGCGCGTGATGTCCCCAGTCAGCCTTCTCATTGTATGCCACATCCAATCCATCTCCACTTCCTTCTGCATATTTGTTCGGTGATAGGTTCTTGGTTGGTTCGTTACCAGACAGAGTGAGTTCCTTGTTGCTCATTTCTTCTGGCCATCTGATCTTCAGTATCGAGTGAGCTTAGACGACAGCTGTTGATCAATGTCTGTAGTTTGTTGGAGGCACATCTCGTGACGCTCCAAGTTTGTGAACCCTATAGCAGCACTGACTTGACATTAGTGTTGAAAATCCAGATGTTGTTCTTTGTGTTGAGTGCAGTAGATCTCCACACTGATTTCAGATTAGTGGAAGCCTGTCTTGCTGTCTTTCCGATCCTGGTTTTGACATCCTCGTCTGTGCCACCTGTAGTTGAAACGGTGCTGCCCATCATAGTATTTCTTTCTTTCTTTAGCTTATTTTTAGAGTGTGAATCTGTCGAAAAAGATGAATTAATGACATCTTTCGATGTCACAGTAATAAACACATCAATCGAACAACAACTGGCCAAGGAGACTATGTCCTTCCTGCTCACCAAAGACACGCACTTTTCAGAACGTATAAAACTTAAATGTTCAAGTCTGGTTGAACTCATTGAACTTTGTCTGACAGCATACTTTCAGTTTGATGGCAAGATATACATACAGATGAATGGAACTCCAATGGAATCACCGATATCCGGACTAATTTCAGGAACAGTGATGCAGACAACTAGGAGCCATCATTTTGCCTGTAATCAGACCAAAACTTTGGATTCTCAGTGTGGACGATACTTTTGTCATCATTTAAAAGATGATTTAGAAAACACTTACAGTCTGATCAACAACGTTTCCAGTGACATCAACTTCACAATGGAGTTGGAGTTGAATAACCAACTGTGATTCCTGGATTTTTTTAGTCAGTAGAACAAATGCGGAAAACCGGAAACCCATCGCTCACTGGTCCAATCCTTAACTACAGTAGTAAAAACGCAACAACGCACAAAATTAATTGCTTGTAGACTCTATTCAAAACAGCAAGAACAAACTACAGTGCAACAACTTCACAGGGAAACGAAGAAAATTACCTATAAAGAAGAACAGCTGCCCATGACATTTTATCAGAAGATGCCTATCCCGTGCATCGTCAACCGCAAAGTCATCGACAAAAATCAACAAACGCATCATCCTCCCGTACACAAAGAATATATCAGAGATCGCAACAAGATTATTGAAACCACCTAGAATTCATGTGATTCATCAATCAACAAATCCCCTTCAAACCATGTTATGCAGACTAAAGGGCGCAATAGCCAAAGAAGACAAGCCAAATATCATTTAGAAAATCAACTGCAATAACTATGATCATCCCTAGATTAGACAAAGTGGTCACCCGCTTCGCTTCCGCCTACATTAACACCAATTGACTATTAAATGTCACGACATTTCATCACTCATTTCAATGCATGTGGATAACAGCTATGGACATGAATTCACTCAGGTCAGTCAGCAATCAACAGATGTATAGACGTGGACTCAGTTTTTCAACCAATAAGAAGAATGATAAGCAATAGAAAGGTCATAGGTGAAACAGAGGGACAGCCAACAAGAAAATCTATGCCGTCAGTGATACAACAGTCGAAGGAAACAAGTAGTCACAAACCAGTTCGTCAGGGGAAGCTACTGAACCACTCACAGAGAGATATTGACAACTCGTTTCATATAAAAGTCAGTACTGATGTTGTCGGCGAGAAAGATGATCAAGGCTCCACGATTAAACCACCCAGCTCAGGGGGCACAACACAATCAAGCCCATCCACTTAAGCTGCAAATATTCTTCACCATTTTTTAGTTTGAATCTGTATAAGCATTAAGATCAAGTGTAGGAGAAATGTATTGTTCTGTGACCAGGATGATTGTCACTAAACATGTTTCAAAAATAAATGGTATATCTCCGACAAAGTAAAAGATATCGTGAGCAAGTAAGTGAGAAAAGGAGAAGCACTATCGGGAATATCAATAACATATGGTTCAGAAAATATGAATTATTCGTTTCGAGTTATTTTATGCGGAGGAACAAGCAAAGTAACAGAACAATTCAACAATACAGACGCCAGAATCCTTTCTATGAGGAAATTTCTGTGGACATTCTAATAAGTTAAAGATCATGCCAATTAGATTGTTTGAAAAACTATAGACACTGGTGAATCTGAATGTTACACGTGGGAAGTGTTTAGCCATATGAACCACCAAAACTCGACAGAATCATGGTTAGCAGGTCATGCGATGGACACCGGGTAATTATTTTACCAAACGAGGACCTAATAATCATGATTCTGTATTTTTATCCGGTTCATTACTATAAGATGTTAGTGCTGTGAACTCTAAGAATCCCTCGGCATCGAAAGTCATAGCTTCCTCGAATCCCATTGCTCAACTAAACTACTAATAATTAATAGATTGTTTAGTTGGTTTACGGATTTGGAGATATGCTTGGTGTTAGATAATTGGAGGTAATCCAAAGGAAACCCTAAAGCGCCTAGGTTTCGTGCACATCTACAGCCTAGAGCATATGTTTCTTCAGAGTTTCAAACCCACGTCATCCAGTGCTACAGCCGGAGATATTGCCTCTAAACTATTTATGCTGCAGCTGACCTCCTATAAGACTGCATTGGATATATTAATTAGTCACTGGCCAGTATGAATGGTGTATAAGCAAATTTCAGTAATAACCTAGAGGATTTTAATAATTCTCAGCGTATTGATTCATCTGAATTACTTGTTACTTAGCATTTACAAGCTATATTGGTCTTGTTGTAAAGAGTGTACTTTCTTAACGTTTTTCAATCAGTTGCTTTCAATGTACTTAATCGTTTAATCAGTGTTAACTAAAATAAATTACTTCAACAAAAGATTGATTTCGTTTTCATATACTTGTTAGAGTGGACTGTTTTGACTCAGTCTACGTAAATTTCAGTGGAATATTCACGACATTGTTGTACCATGCCTCATAGAAGGTAAAAAATGTGTTCAGCAACGGGTGTTTTAATCCAAGTCAAGTGGATGCATTAAAAAATTTGATTTGGAAGTTTGTAGGGATTTATTTCAGGTTGGTACTTATCATGGACCCACATCACTTTGAGAAGCCTTGGAAATATGAGACCACGGGATAACTGTTTCGTTCTAGTAGGGGACTCCTAAGGAGTGCAGACCTGTGACCCCTCTAGTGTTTGAACCCATAAAGTTCAGATTCCGCAGCCAGCACGTTAGCATTGAGTCACTGGCTCAAAATCCAATGGCTCATGTTAGATGACGGTAGCATGATATTGCAAATTGGCGGGAGTAGAAAACTATGGACCATTGAACCCCGACTCAGTGGTTGAGGGGTAACCTGCTGGCCGTGGGAACTGAAGGCTCCGGATTCGATTCCTGTCGGGGTCATGGGTATCCACTGCTGAGTAGTCCCATACTAGAAAGGAACGGCTGTCCAGTGTACACAGGTTTCCAATGTTTCTCCAACTGATGTCAGCCGATGATGACTACCATTCTGAAAGTAATTTAAGTTAAGAGAAATTTTGTATCAGTAGTTGGTTTGAAGCATTGCTGCTCACGTGACCACTATGGTATTAAATCGGCGGTTCTGTGTATAAGACTTTTTCTGGCTTGATCTTATCTCAACTGATTTGCTTCTCTACTTCTCATCTTTGATCAACAGATAAAGTTTTACCGCTGCCGTGCAACCTAGTTTTCATTTTCTCATGTTAAACATACGAAACTAAATGGAATAGAAGATGACTGCTTGAGAATGTATTCTTTGAAACTGGCTCTAATTGCAAAGCACTGGTATGAAACAGTGATGATGACCAGAAATGAGGAATAATCTGAGTCTCACATATATTTATAGGAAAGTCAAGTGCAGTGATTAGGCACTGAGGTGGAGGTGTTCACTAATTGGGTGCCTGATTTTATATATGAACGCCAAAGCAACACGCAGATGAAATATTTTCCAAACTGAATAATTCCGGTTACTCTTAATACAATAAGTCATAAACAATCCGTTATTTCCCTTATTGCTTGATAGTCAACCTGGATTCGAACAAGAGAACCAAATGATAAAAAGAAAATGAATGTTTGATTTCGGCTTGATGAGTGGTTGGAAATTGTTGACAGAGTATACTAGCAACAGTTCATAATTATAAATCTTAAATTTCATTATTCTTAGCCAGTATTACCTCCGTGAGAAAACACAAAGATGCAATAAATTGCTCATTTACCGGGTTAGATTTGCACACAATAAATATATGTATATTCATTTAAGTAACCTGAAATGCCCTGGAATGTTTTAAGACAATTTATTTATCAAAAACGGTTATGTGATCACATTTAAATATCAT